TGCTGTCCTGCGCGTTTGGACTCGCTATTAGCTTCTTCGGATTCGCCTGCAGAAAGGCGATCTCAGCAACTGCTTTCACTGTGCTCGGAGTGACCAACAAGCTTCTGACCGTTGTCATCAACGTGATGATCTGGGACAAGCACGCATCCTCGTTTGGAGTCATGTGCCTTCTCGTTACAATCATCGGAGGAGTGATGTACCAGCAATCGAACGTGAAGCAGAACTTCCGGACCGCTCCGGCTTCTACGGACGAGGAGGAGGCGAAACCCTTGACTCCTGCGAATGAAGTGGACGACGCACAAGATGCTGGTGAGTCGCGTTGATCGCACAGTCCGTTTATTTCCTTCAACAACGTACATAAGCATTAGGGTAGAAAGAAATTTTGAACGAATCCCTCAACTAGCGGTCATAACATAGAAACCCTACGTGAAAAGGAGGAGGCATGTGAATGTATCGATTCGCGTACTCCTGGTTTTGTATCAGAGGAGGCGCTAAAAGAATTAGGTCTCCTTTTCGGAGGTGGTCTCCGAAAAAGAGTGGATACCTTTTGAGTATCCACAACTTCTTGATTCTTATGAGTATCGAAGATTCGGTTCTTGTCGGCAGTTTTTAGTATCCCGTCTCCAAGTTTTCCTAGAATACTCGTGTGTGGAGTCTACGTAGCCATGGGAATGAAATAGATGCGGTCATTGATCTCTAACAGAACCGTTCCGGTTTTTGTGCCATAGAATCGAACATCCAATGCCTCTGCCAGGCCAATCCGGTGCACGTAGAAACCCTCGCAGAACCCTGACCCTCCCTCTCCTTCCATCCATGTGTCTTTTCTGATCTTCATTCCTCTGCTCCTCTGTGCTCTTATCTTATGCCCTTCTCATTCTGAATGCCTCCTCGTCCTGTCTACTGCCTCAGTCTTTCCTCCCTTGCACCATTCACATCAATCTGAAAGTATTTTCTGGCCGTACCTGCCTCAGTCCTATGTTGCCCCTATATGCTGCTCGCAATCATCCCACACAATCTCCTGCGAGTTATCTCTGCCTTCCCTTCCATCCGCTTTCCCCTCCCTCCCCCCCATCCCGCAACCCCTCTCCACCACCCTCCCCTTCTCTTGCTCTCCCTCCTCTCCCTCTCGTTCACCTCCCCTTGTGGGTCTTCCATTTCGCCCAATCCCCCATGGCTCCTTTTGGTGGCTGGTCAGCTGTGTGGTGTTTGTTAACAAAATTCGTAACTTTCCTCCCCTTCTGCTCTTCTCGTGTGCTTGTGTGCACAGAGCTAAAGCCCCTGAACGCCAAGTGAGCAAATTCAAGCTGCTTGGTCTAGTTGGTCTGGCATTCGAGTTAGATACTATATGTTTCTATTATCTTGTATGAACTGTGCAGCAGATGTATGGTGCATGACTGTCCCTAAACTTGGGATAGCTCATTGTAGTTATTCTGAACACAAAAGCACAGCGCCGGATTTGGTATGAATACATATGCCACAAACAAAAGCCCTAGTGCATCCCCACCTGGTATCACCTAATGTATTTGTGTAAGCCAAGGCTGAGAGGTGTGACTTGACTTGTAGTACAAAGCCAAATGTTTTGATTCCATTTCATTTTCATTGCTGCAGGGGCAACTTGTTTACCGTAATGAGCGTGCACGTTTCAAATGGCCTCAGTTTTCATAGTTGCACTGAGCTGAGTTGCAGCTGCATTGTTGCATCACAATCGGCTTGACAATGCATTTCCTAGTTGCGCATTATAGTGCAGATTACAGTTGGCCCACACCATATACTGTGCTAACTATTGACAAACCAGGTTTAGGGTGATTGCAAGAGGTTTGTAATGCATGCCCTTGTGTAGGACCAGAGACATACATTGAATTTGTTAGTGCAGCATGCGACCCGTTTGGAATACCGTGTGTTATCCATGCCAGACCGTGGCTTCAAGCGAGGAAAACCTGAATACGGGCGCGCAGTTTTCTGTTCACGCGGCTTGTTGCTGAGAGGATGTGCTGCGCTGGCCAGCCATAATTGGTGTGAAGTTCCAACGGACGGATGAGAACCTTCGTTAGTGCTGCCGACGCGAAACCACCATTCGTACTCTTCTTCCCGCCTGTCTTCGGCTTCTGACCGTCCAATCGAACGGTTCAACCGTATATCTTCGCCACGCTGGATAACTGACGCATCACTTTGAGCTCTTTTCCCGCCTACATGTCAAGATCTCATTGCTTTTGACGAGGCACAGTTTTGGGTGCGTCCACGTCGCATTGAAACTGCTGCTTGACCCGGGCCCCCCCCATGCGAACTGAACTGAAGCCTCGCCCCGCACGCAGACTATGCGGAAAAGTTTGCGCCATCCCACCGCTCCGTGAGACGGATGGTGTCGGAGATACGTGTAGACGCCAGCGGGGGAGTTGGAGGTCGAGTCGAGCACATGCAACAGGCATGCTGCAAGCACATGGGACCCAATGGGCCAGCAGGCGAAATCTCCCTGCCACCCTCGTGCTGACAGTTTATTCCGCCGCACAGTCGTACCAGATATTTTCGCACCGCTTCGCATAATGTCGCAAATATGGCGAAGCAGCACTATGCGAACTTGTAGTGTCTATTTCCACAGTAGGGATGATAGAATCGGGGTACTGTATGGTAACAACGTCAGCACTGAATCGTTATCATGCTTGCGCGATAAACGTTTTTGGCATGGTTCTGCTGATGCTTCTCAACAGAACTACTGACTGGGACCTTGGCAATCATCATTCCCAGTGGTGATCGCATGAGTCAGGCAGTGGAAGCAACAGAACAAGAACAGTGAACGGTCGTTCTCCCTTCCCCCCGTTGCCTAGGAAACGGGGTTGATGGGGAGGTCCGCGTGGGACAGCAGCAACCTGGAAAGGTTTGGTAACAAGGGGAGATGACGGGCAGGGGGGAAGTAACTGCAGAAATGCTGTGGTGGTGGTGAGTGAGAGAGAGAGAGGACATGTAAGTGAAGGGGGAAAGGCGCGCGGAACAGAGAAGCCAATTTCTGCCAAACAGGGTTCTTTGCGCAAGCGAGAGTTTCTTGGCCCGCTCCTGTGCTCCAGATAATAGGGGCAAAGGGGGAATAGGTACCACAGAAACCGCAGGGGAATGCGCAAACACGCGGAGCAGATGGGTCAAACTCCGCGAAAACGCGGAACAGAAGAGCAAAGCACTGGTGCTCGTCGCTCTAACCCTGGTCCCAGAGATAGTCCCACTGGCTAGCTCGTCGCACAGAACTGAAAGGGAAAGTAGAGAATCACCGCTTCTTTTACAGTACCGAGACAGCCTGTTTGTCAGCTTACAAGAAGCTGGTGCATTCCATGAATGTTGTAGGTCTGCCTGTCATCCACCCTTCGCGCTTCCAATACCAGCTACTTTTTCATACTTAGTCTGCCTAGACGATAGGCTTACCTCAAATTACAACTGGGGGTAGCCGCTAACTAGCTCTTCGAGGTTTTGTTGTTCGGGGGTTATCACAGTGCATATCTTCGAGAACATTCTCAATCTCTGCAACAATGGAGTGTCTGAGACTACCTTGTGAAGCTGTGTCAATCTCTCGCAGCGGGAATGCCGGGCTCTCAGCTGCTGAGTTTGCCACACCTAAGGCAACTTTAGATCGCCAACCAATTAGAAGCCGGAAGTTTCTAAGTTTCAAAGGTTCTGCATTTCCTTCCATGCAATCCCCTGGTTTTTCCAACGACTCCAATTTCGCAAGAGATGGAGCGGGTTCATCATCCTGGCCTATGTCGGTCCCGGCAATGTCTTCTCAGTCCAGGCACAGCAGCAGATGTCAACGATTTCCGCATTCTGCTCGTTTTTCTGAAGATCCGACCTGTTCGTTTCCTGACAACGACGACCAGGAAGCATCTCGGCTTGCATTGGCTCAGCTCGAACGATCTTTCCTGGCTGAGTCGTCGATTGGAATTGTGGAGTGTAACAGCAAAGGATGCAGACCCGTTCTCAGGCCACCAACTCCACCTGCGGCTGAACCGTCTCTGTCCTCTTCCGCATCGTTTCCTTCAACCCAGCCTACTTATCCCCTTAGCTCATTAGCTACTGATGCTGCGTGCATGGAGGAACGAGCTGCGACTTATCACCGTCATCAGGAACGCCGACAGGCTGAAGTGTCTGGCCGGCTAAGTCTTAATACTGAGTTTGCGGAATTCGTTGATGAAGTCTGGGTGGAGCCTTCGACGGCGGACAAATATTACCGGTCGGCGATGCGGCAATCTCCGTACGACATTCGGTTACTGACGAGTTACGCTCAGTTTTCGTGGAAGCAGCTTCACGATAAGGATCAAGCAGAGAACCTTTATCAGAAGGCGATTCAAGAGTCTCCGGATAACTCGGACGCGCTCGCGAGTTACGCTCTCTTCCTGTGGGAAAGTGAGAGCGAGAGCGAAGGGGAGGTGGAAGCGGTTAAGAAAGCAGAAGTCGTGACGTCAGTTTAGCAAGAGTTGGGGTGAAGAGGCTAATCAGTCTTGTGCGCGTACGGTATTACCTCTCCTATGTCCGAATCGTACATTTTTAGGAACTTATAATTTGCTGCCCCTTCCGCGGAAGGGGTATCTTAGTAGGTAGAGCATGCCTGCTCCCTGTTGCTTAACTTATTAGGCAGCGGATTATGGTTTGAGAGTTGTCAACGAGTTTCTGAGTACCTACCAATGTCCATTACAGGAATCTTACCAACTTGATGTCAGGTTCAAGGTGTTGTACTGGTGGTGCTTTTCTGACATGATAATTGGCATACCAATCTAAATATTTGCTGTGGTACTTCAGACAGTCTACCAGTTACACATAAAAGTGGGCACAACTATCAAGTACCCTGAAAAGCCTAAAGAAGAGGGGGTTGCCCCATTTGAGCAAGGACCACATGACATCCTTTTCTAGCTCCAAATACGGCAACGCAAAAGCAAGCTACGTCTTTAACACAACACCCTCGAGTCCTCTCCTAACCCTAATAATCACTAGTCTCCCCTCTCTGACACTCCTTCCCCTCCATATCAATCCTCCCTTGAGCTCATCTCCAATGGACCCGGCTCTCCCCTTCGAATACGCCTCACCACCGACCTCCCCAGAGCAAACGCAGCAACCACGCCAGCCAGGCGCAGCAAATGGCCTCCTTGCCTGTGCACCCGCCCGCCCCTTCCCCTCCCCGCACCACGCACTGCTTCGCTACGGCCGTGCAAACTCATGCTCCCCACACCATCCCCCTCGTCCTGCCCCATGCTCTGCCTCAAGACCTCTTCACTACCTCCTTCCAAACGCCTCTGATCACCACTCCCGTCGCCTTCCAACTCCTCACTCCGTTCACCCACCACCTGCCGCGCGCCACCTCGTGCCACCTCCCCCAGAGGATCATGCTGCTGGCGATCAGTGCTGCCTCTTGGGTTGTCCGCTCCAACCAAAGCCCGCTCCCCATCCCCTCCCACAAGCTGCACGCCAGTTCTTGTCACGCCATTCTGCCACTGCTCACTGCCTCTTAAGCTGTCAGCTCCTACTGAGGCCCGCTCACCATCCCCTCCTACCACACGTGCTTCCCCCTCTTGCTGCTGCTCCACCTCATGCTCCCGCCCCTGCTCCTGCTCCTGCCTCCGCTGCTGCTCCCGAAAAGTCCCATCTGCTTGTACCTCTCTCTGCTGCCTCCTCTCCTGCAGCCCCTGCTGCTGCGGTTCCCGTTCCCGCCACCCATCCGCCCCCCCCCTCTCCCTGCCACAGCCCTGCTTCCCCCCCCTCCCCCTGCCGCTGCCCCGCTTCTGACCCCTCTCTCTGCCGCCGCCCGGCTTCCTCCCCCACCCCCTGCGACCGCCCCGTTTGCTCCCGCTCTCGCAGCCGCCTCCGCTCCTCATACTCCTCATCATCCGTGGGCAACTCAAACCGGCAGATGGGGCACGAGTTTCTCACCGCAAGCCACTGCCGGATGCACCCCCCGTGGTACAGGTGCCGGCACGGCAGCCTCACCACCTCCTCTCCCACCTCCGCCACCTCCTTACACACCGCGCAGCACGACGCGCCGCCCTCCACGTCCTCCAATCGCACGGCGACAGCTGGCAGCGCGTCGACCGCGGATAGCGCCGCTGGGGGGTTGCCGCGTTGTTGCGCGTCTGCCGCAACGAGCTGGTCGAGAAAAGCGTCTAAGCCAGGGCCGTCCAGGTAGTCTCCTCGATTACCAAAGTTTCCTCTGTTGCCAAAGACAATGGTGGTGGTCGTGACTCCGTCTGAATCCGTGGTAGCACCACCAGCGCCTGCGAAACCAGCAGGTTCGGCAGCAGCAGGTCCGGCGCCCCAGTGTATCCGAGCCTCGAACCCAGCCCCGCCAAACGCCAGCCCACCAGCACGACCACCAGCGACACCAGCACCATACAAACCACCCCCCCCACCACCAGAACCAGCACCAGCACCAGCACCAGCACCAGCAGCACCAGCACCAGCACCAGCAGCACCAGCACCAGCACCAGCACCGGCACCGCCATCTGCACCAGCAGCAAGGCTACCGTCAGCATTGACAAGCCGGCCGCGGCGAAGGCTGAACTCCACATGCACGGAGGGGCCCACCAGCTCCTGCATCAGCTGCTGCAGCCGCCTCTCCAGCCCCACCTCCAGCCGCAGCAGCGCCTGCTGCTGGGCTGCTCTCAGCCGCCTCAGCAGCCCCGCTCCCCTGTCCTCTGTGGGCCCCGCTACAAACGCTTGCGCCTCTTCCTCACGTGCCTGCCTCTCGCGCACTTCTTGCTCGAACGCTTCTCTCTCGGATGCTGCTCTCCCAGGTGCTTCTCCTCGCTCCCATTCTTCTCTCTGCCTCTCGCCTCGCTCCCTCTCGCCCTGCTGCACAGCAGGAGCTGCTCCCTCGACCTCCTGAAAAGGTCTCAAGAACACTGGTGCAGCTCCTTCAAGCCGTGCCATTTCTGCCGCTTGTGCTGCGGATAGCGGTCCTGATAACAAGGACGCAGAGGATGCTGACGTGGATGCTGACGTGGATGATGATGAGGATGACGCTGCTGCTGATCCTGTTCCTGCAGCTGCAGCAGGGGCAGGAGATGATGACGTGGAGGATGCAGGAACAGCCCTATGCAAGTTGGCTCGCCCTGAACCCCCCTGCGCCGCTTCCCCCTGCTCTCTCCCCTCCATCCCCTCAATCCCCTCCATACCCTCGATCCCCTCCATACCCACCCTCCCCTCTCTACCCTCCAACCCCACCAGTCCCTCCAGCCCCGTAACGCCACCTCTCAAGCCAGTCCCCGCCACACCCCCTCGCCTCAGCCCTCGTCGTCCGCGCCTGCCCCGAGTGCTGTTGTTAAAGCCCGACGCCAGCCTCTCAACGCCCATGCGAAACAGAGGCACGCGCGCCCTCCCTCCCACATGCTCCTCCTCTTCATCGCTCCATCCCCCCTCTCCTTCCTCCTCCCACTCCTCCCCATCCTCTTCCTCCTCCTCCTCTTCCTCCCTTTCCGCCTCCTGTCCGTCTTCCTCCGCCCCTTCAAGGCTAGACCACGAGCCTCCTATTTCCAGCAACAGTCCCTCCAGTTGCCTTAAAGTGCTAAGAAAATTATCCGCCGCCCAATTTCCGCGGTTCCTGCGGCCTGGGATTCGATTCGCTGCCTCCCTCTCCTCCACCCCGTAGTCGCTATCGTCACTCTCGCTGTACTCGCTATTGTCGCTCTCGTCGTGCTCGTTATAGTCACGGCCCCTGACGCCCGGAGTCTGGTTCTCTCTCTGCCACCACCGTTCCTCTACCTCGTTTTCCTCGTCCTCGTCGTACTCGCTATCGTCACTCTCGCTAATAGCACCACCATCGCTGCCGCTGGTAAGAGCTGGCAGTTCATCCTCGCTTGCTGCCGCTTCATTTTCATTCAGAGGCCTCGTTTCAGGCACATCCGTTTCTGTCACACGCATTTCAGTCACACCCGTTTCAGCCACATCCGGCGACGTGCTCGTACGAGGCGATACGAGATCCGGCAGTTCATCTTCCTCCACTTCCGCTACCGCTTCTCCTCCCCGTTCAGTCACACCCGCTGGTGTCGTCGTCACAGCGCTATCGTTGAACCACAATGCCTCTTCAGCTTCCCGAATTTGCTGACTTCCATACCCATCCCTATTCTGACCCCTGTCTTGACTTCCATGCCCATTCTCCCCTCCTTCTTCCCCGTGACCTTGATCCCCGCCGCCTTCATCCCTGATTCCATGATCCCCACCGTCTTGAATCTCGTTGTAATCACAATCTTCAGGGTCGCTGCAAAGGTCCGGCATATCGTCGTCATCCTCCTCCTCGGCTTCAGCCGCTTGTATCCGAAGTCGCGCTTCAGGCACACTGTTTTCAGTCGCACCCGCTTCTGATGGCGCTGCTGCTGCAGCTACTGATGCTGATGCTTCATCTGATGCTGATGTCGATGCGGACGCTGCTGCTGCTTCCCAAGTATCACCTCGTTCAGGGTCAACCCCGTTATTATCACCTACGCTTTCATCACCACTTCTTCCACTGAAAAGCCTCTCGCATCTTCCAGAAACTCGCTGAAAGCCGTCCATTCTTTCCCGGGGAAAATAATGCGAGGAAGGAAGAGCTACTTGCCGACACGGATGCCAATCTAGTGCCACCAGCTCAGTCAAACCGCTTCCTACGCAATCAATATCAATAACATACACGCTAACGCAACGGTAGCGCTCGGAATGTTCCGAACGGTCACTTGACTAGTTGACGATGGACATGTGATTTTTTAGGACGTGAACTCGCTGAATTTAGATTATGACTAGGAGACATCGATTCTTTTTAGGTACGTTGAAGGGATGTGAACTTGGAAAGCACTCCGTCGCAGTAGCCTACCAAACCGTACAATAACCGTTTGCATCCCTGGTATTTTTACACCACCGTTTTAGAACGCTCTTGTTCACTTCACTTGTGAAGCAATCTTGAATCTGTTTGGAAACACTGGACTGGTCACCGCACTGTAATCCGCAGGACCTATATCTAGTCTTGAGTTCAGCTCCTCAATCTCAATTCCAGATTAGCCATACTACTGTTGATGCTACCACAATTCCGTCAGGCTACTTTTGCATATACCTTTTCAAATCCCGAAGCCCTCTTCCAACTTGATGCTAAATGACTTAAAACACATTATTCATCTAATCGACAATATAGGAGAGTAAAGAATAATACCAGAGTGCACAATAATTTATACTCTATTAATTATTATCCTAGGTTCTTAGCCCCCAGATAAGTGTTTCAAAAGAAATGCATTATAAGGATACACGTTGGTAGTTCAATCATATGCAAGTAGCAATACGTGGAAAACTGCTGTACATACAGCTCTACTATAGCAAACATGCTGAAAACAAAACAAAATTCTAGTTGTGCTCGTCCATTTGTTGTTCCCGAGTCGTTTTCGGAAAACCAAATCTGCCCAGCCCAGTGTGATGATGAGCCCCCGTTGGCCCAGGCCAGCTCATCCTCACCATCGAGAATCTCATCCAGCCCGTTTTCGCTGCGATGGCGATGATCCAGGGCCTGTGACAGCGTTCGGGGTTGTCCCAGATTCTTTCGCCACTGCCCTTCGCTTATCGTGCGACTGTCCGTGCATGACGCCCAGCGTGTGAATGCGGGCAGGACGGGCAGAACGGATGGGTTGTACGTACATTACTGTCAGCGGCTTGGAGAGCGAAACCAAACCCTCGCCACGTCCTTTCGGCACGTCTCGCGGGAGTCCTTCGAAACCCTCGCCGCAAGTGCGAAACCCTCGCTAGCTGCTATCCACCTCTCGCCTATCCCTCTTTCAGACCCTCGCCAGGTCGTCTCAGACAGAATGAAACCCTCGCCAACCCTTTTCTCCCCTCGCCAATCCGTTTCTCCTTCGCCTGGTTCTTTGCCTCCCCTCATTTTCAGTAATCCTCCATTTCGCCTTCCTTGTCTCTTTCTTTCGCGTAATCTCTCGCGCGTTTCGCCCACCTTTCTCGCCCCAGCCAGCGAAGAAACACAACCCTGGTTTTGGCTCTCCCCCCTGCTCGCCCAGCCTGGCGTCGCTAAACTCAGCCATGGCGATTCGTTTCTCCCCAGAGGAGCTCAAAGGGGAGCTTCTCAGGGTGAGGCGTGAACTTGCTCATTTGGATACGCTTTTGGATCGGACTTTCAGGGACATAGAAGCTGCCAGTGAACATGGTGAGAGGGACCGCATGGAAGATGCGAGAAATGTGCGACAATGCCTGTGGAAGGATAAGGAGCAGCTGAGGTCACAAGAGACCATATTTCTGAGGCTTTTATTCGATCCAAATTCTGTTGGTGGAAATCCTGCGGAAAATGGAGCGCCGTCTGCGGGCGCTGGCTTCCCGCCTCAATACTCCGTTGATGGTAAGCGTCATTTCGTGAGCTTAGCTGACCTGTATTTGCGTTTTGTTTGGTGGTATCCAACTGTTCTGTTGTTTGATGTGTGCAATGCCATTTTTTAATCGCTACTTGGCGTTGATTATTGTTTGTGTTTTTTTATTTATTTCTTGCGACAGGTTCGCCGATGCCGATTATGGGTCATGGAGATCCTTCGCGGATGCTCCACTCGGTATTTACACCACCGTCGATGCTCGGAGTTAAGCCGGGGAAGATGAAGATGCGACGCAACAAGCTCGCTTCACCCGGCCTGCCATCGTCCATGTCTGACGGAAAGGCTCCATCTGGTTTCGAATCTGACTTCGCTAATCCTAATGGTTACGAAGTCAACCGGAGTGCGGAGTGCAAAGTTCGCGACGTCTGGCTTGAGTGGAAGGAGGGGCTGAATGGTTTTCCGTCGATCGAGAAGCTAGAAGAAGAGAGGAAGAAAGACCGGAAGAAAGTGTGGTGGAAGAATATGAACGACTACAAATACTGGAGCAAGCAGGTCGGTACCATCGTTCGCTGTTCGTTTTGATCCTGGACCAGTAAACGTTGTATAGTATGGGACTATCGCTTTTTTCCATCTTGACTTATTTTTCCTTAGTGATTCTGCAGATGAGGATTGTTCATGCTGTCGAAGAAAAGGCGCGCGAGCTTGGTGGGGATCTTGACTCCAGCATCAATTTCTGGGAGGACATTCTTCGCGAGGAGTTCGACGGAAGCGTCTCGAAGCTTCGCGAAGCGTTAGGAGGCCAGAAGACAAACGAAGAAGACATTGGTCGTTTTAAGAAGCGATGTCGGGATTTGCTGCAAAAGGGTTTGCTTCGGATGGCTAAGAAGAGGCAGATGACGCACCAGCAGTCTGATCCGCATCATGCTCATCAGCAAGCCATGCATCAGCAGCAGCTGATGGAAATGCAGCAGCAGACTTACACTCAAGCTGTTCAGGGTGACATGGTTCACATGGCAGGCATGGGTATGCCACACGATCCCAATGTTCTTCCGAAGCATGAAGCCCAGCACGAAGTTTCGCAGCAGCAGGTTCTGGAAGAAAATATGTTACACGAAGCTGCTGCAGCTGCAGCGGCAGCCGCGGCGCAGGGTCAGCTAGATAACAGCGTGCTGCTGATGCAGGAAGCGCACGGGCTGCAGCAGATGTCAGGCGAAGGTCAGGCGGTGATGCAGGCTCATAACGAGGAGCATCTAGAAGACGCTCAGGAGCAGCTTCACCAGCAACAACAGCAGCAGCAAGAGCAGATGCGGCAGATGCATGAAAATCAGCTTATTGCTGCTTCCATGCATGCTGCCCAGGCGCATGCTGAGGGGGAGGAGGAGCATGGGGAAGAGCAGCATGGGGAGGAGGGGGAAGAGCAAATGCATGGGGATATGGAGAGGTGGAGGAGGGTGATGAGGAATTGGAAGGAGAAGGTAGAGGGGAAGAGGGGGAGGGGGAGGAGGAGCATGTGTGAGTGGTTGGGATGGTGTGGTTGGTGCACTGCTGGTGCCTTACATGCCTTCGCGACTACCTAGCTATTATGTTTTGTGCACGTTTTTCCGTATAGGTAGTTGTTTTCTTAGATGTGTTTGAAATAATGTAAAGGAATATATGGTGGTTATGAAGTGTTGGTGTAATAGTAAAAACTCTGTACCTTGTAAGACTACATACAAAAGAGGAGCTGCTACTGTATTTACTACTTTCTGCGTTCTTGGTACAATGGTACATGTACAGCTGGGCATTTCATTTCCCCAAACTCTACACCAACCTACACATGTCCTTCTCTCAAGATTCCCCACACATCCACAATCCCCGCTGGGAATGAGTGCTCTGTTGCTGCTCGGATCGCAACTGAGGCAACGGCCGAGACAGGAACAGGGGGCACTAGAGCTGGGCCGATCAGAGGAAGGCGAGAGAGGAAGGGCAAGTTCTTGAAGGCCTGGACGAGGAGGGGTGGGAGGAGTGGAGAAAAGGGAGATGAAAAAGAAAAACGTGAGACAACGGGCCAATCACTTTGTCGGGGTTATGGCTAGGGTCTAACTAGGGTGAGGCAAGAAAGGGGGGATGCAATTTCTTTTCTAAAACCTGAAAGGGGAAGCTGAAAGACAGATAAGACTTCAGAGATGCGGGTGGGCTCTTGGTGAAACTACAACCGTAATGAGAATTAGTATCTGACACAGAGTGGTATTTAAGGCCGAAAAGCACTCTTACGAGTTCCAAGGGAGCTCCAATCAAACTGAGAGGCAGTTGATAGGCGCCAACACTGCGCGTGCCGTGAATCATGGCTGGTCGGAGCACTACACCTGGAAACGAATCCCAAGAGAAATGAAACCAGAAGAAGATATCGTGGAGGCACGGGAAACAACGGGTATGTGATCAGAGTGAGAAACGAGCCATGGGGCATGGGGCATGAGGCATGGGGCATGAGGCATGGGGCATGAGGCATGAGGCATGGGGCATGAGGCATGGGGCATGAGGCATGGGGCATGAGGCATGGGGCATGAGGCATGGGGCATGAGGCATGGGGCATGGGGCATGAGGCATGGGGCATGAGGCATGGGGCATGAGGCATGGGGCATGGGGCATGAGGCATGGGGCATGGGGCATGAGGCATGGGGCATGAGGCATGGGGCATGAGGCATGAGGCATGGGGCATGAGGCATGGGGCATGAGGCATGGGGCATGAGGCATGGGGCATGAGGCATGGGGCATGAGGCATGGGGCATGGGGCATGAGGCATGGGGCATGAGGCATGGGGCATGGGGCATGAGGCATGGGGCATGAGGCATGGGGCATGAGGCATGGGGCATGGGCATGGGCATGAGGCATGGGGCATGAGGCATGGGGCATGAGGCATGGGGCATGAGGCATGGGGCATGGGGCATGAGGCATGGGGCATGAGGCATGGGGCATGGGGCATGGGGCATGGGGCATGGGGCATGGGGCATGGGGCATGGGGCATGGGGCATGAGGCATGAGGCATGAGGCATGAGGCATGAGGCATGAGGCATGGGGCATGGGGCATGGGGCATGGGGCATGGGGCATGGGGCATGGGGCATGAGGCATGGGGCATGAGGCATGGGGCATGAGGCATGGGGCATGAGGCATGAGGCATGGGGCATGAGGCATGGGGCATGAGGCATGGGGCATGAGGCATAAGCAGGCGCATACCTGTGTTGGGATAATTCGTCAGAACAGCTGCCTCTGCCGCTTTCTGGAAGGAGTGGGGAAAGGCAGAGGGAGGGAAGAAGGGAGGGAAGGAGGGAGGAATGGAGGGAGGGGGAAAGACAAGTGTTGCTGATTGTGGACTGTACCGTATGTCTCTACATTAAAACTGTTAATTGTACTGTACATCAGTAACCTTCATTTGCAGTGTACATCAGCACTGTACATTTGCACTGTACCTTGCCCTCGTAGTATCCTCTGAGAACAGAAGGAGGCAGCCCCACGTCATGAGCAGAGATAAAGACAAACCTCGCCACCCCTGCCAGGGAAGGAAAAAACCCAAATTATTGGATAGCCTCCACATAAACAAAAATGGAGAAAGTAAATACACATTAAAATGGGAACCAACGATTCCATTGCTCAGAATCTACACCAAGAAAAATAAAACCATGTCTGAACCAATGCAAGACAAATGCTGCCTTCCCCACTAGCTGCCAGACCAACCCACCCTCCTCTCTTGCAGCATTAACCACGCCCACGTTGGCATCTCCATTGATCCTCCTCATCCACTCATTCGACCCAAAGGCGCCCGTACACACACACGAGACCTGCCAATTCAATGCAGAGCCACCTTTCCCTCTGACTGCCATACCAACCCACCTTCCTCTTTTGCCACATTCACAATACCCACGTTGGCATCTCCATTGATCCTCCTCATCCACTCGGTTGACCCAAACGCACCCACACACGACACCTGCCGACGAGGCAAGAACAAAGAGGAACAAAGAATGGAACCGGAGCGAACTATTCTGTGTCACTGTGTGTTTTGAGTCGACTCAAAACACACCATTGATCCTCCTCATCCACTCATTCGACCCGAAGGCACCCACACACGAGACCTGCCCATGAGACAGGAAAAACAGGAACGGAGTAACAGGAATATATGACCACCCCAACGTTGGCATTTCCATTGATCCTCCTCATCCCCTCATTCGACCCAAACGCGCCCACACACGACACCTGCCGACGAGGCAAGAACAAAGAGGAACAAAGAATGGAACCGGAGCGAACTATTTTGTGTCACTTGTGACCACCATATTAACGTGATAGAGGGGCCCACTTGTGTCCTGCCCCACCGCAACCCATACACCTGCGCTGCGGCCAGGAAACAAGAAGGAAGAAGGAAAAAGAACAAGGAATGGAACTGGAGCGAACTATTCTGTGTCACTTGTGACCACCATATTAACGTGACAGAGAGGCCCACTTGTGTCCTGCCCCCTTGCAACCCATACACCTGCGCTGCCGCCAGGACACAAGGGTCACTACACCTCTGATGCCACCCCACACACCCTCTGTCCATGCCCACTCACTCACTCACCACTCCCGTGATGTTGGTGTTGCTTTAGAGAATTCTCAAAAGCAACACCACAGTTTCCTGTTCCCTTACAACCCACACACCTGCGCTGCCGCCAGGACACAAGGGTCACTACACCTCTGATGCCACCCCACACACCCTCCGTCCATGCCCACTCACTTAACACTCCAGTGACCCATTGCAAGTGACTGGTGTAGCATCAAGAGGAGGGGTCCATCCATGCCACTGCATGCCATGCCATGCTTTACTACACCATGCCATGCTACACTATGCTATACCATGCTATGCCATTCCACCTACCCACCTCCGGCCATGCCACTCAGTCCCCACTCCCGTGGCCCTTTGCAGGGCCGCTTCCATCCCATAGCATCCCATCTCACTCCAATGGCATACCATACCATGCCATGCCACGCCATACATCCATGCATGCCACTCAGTCCCCACTCCCGTGGCCCTTTGCAAGGCCGCTTCCACAATGAGGGGAGTTCAAAGCTTTCTCAATGCCATCCCATCCCATCCCCTGCCATGCCATCCCATGCCATGCCATGCCATGCCATGCCATGCCATGCCATGCCATCCCATCCCATCCCATCCCCTGCCATCCCATCCCATCCCATCCCATGCCATGCCATGCCATCCCATCCCATCCCATCCCATCCCATCCCATCCCATCCCATCCCATCCCATCCCATCCCATCCCATCCCATCCCATCCCATCCCATCCCACCCCATCCCATCCCATGCCATGCCATGCCATGCCATGCCATCCCATCCCATCCCATCCCATCCCATCCCAGCCCATGCCATCCCATCCCATCCCATCCCATCCCATGCCATGCCATGCCATGCCATGCCATCCCATGCCATGCCATGCCATCTCATCCCATGCCATACCATGCAATTCTACGCCATCAATCCATGCATGCCCACTCACTCACCACCCCCGTGGCCCCCTGCAAGTGCTGCTTCCAAGAAGAGGGGTTCAGGGCGTCGCCTGGATGGAGAAGAAGGGTGAAAAGGGGTGGAGAGGGGTGAGAAGCGGTGGTTAGAATCAATAAGAACACCAAGTGTAAGGCATTGCATGACTAACAAGGGTCCAGAGGGGGGTTGCAAAGAAGTTAAAGGGAAGATGTGTTGAAGGTAGTAATTGAGGAGACTTTTGAGTCGACTCAAAAGTCGCCTCAAAGAAGTACAAGGGAAGATGTGTTGAAGGTTGTAATTGAGGAAGAATGGGAGTTGGAAATCAGATGCTCACCTTTGATCCACTCAACCTCCTTGATCCATGCTTCACTGCGATTGGGCTGACCTGATCTGAACCATGCACATGCATGTATGCATATGCACACATGCAGACACCATGCACATGCATGTATGCACATGCACACATGCAGACAGCACACATACAAGCATTCCACATGCGCACACACGCCCGGTTAAAAAATGAGATTCGGATCCTTAGCAAGGCGGTGAAGTGTTGGGATGATGTTTCTCGAGAAATTGATATGCACACATGCAGACAGCATGCACGCAAGCATTCCACATGCGCACACACGCCCGCATGAACATCCTGGCAGACAAGGGATCAGATTTTTGAGGCACCATGAGTGACAAAGATTCTGAGCTGACTAAAGAAGTGACTTTTGAGTCGACCCAAAAGTCACCTCTTGAACATCCTGGCAGACAAGGGATCAGATTCTGAGCTGACTAAAGAATTCCCCCCCCCTCTCCCCCCCTCCTCCAAAACACACACACACACACACACCCACACACAAGGGGGGAAATTAACCACCTTATCTCACATTCGTTAGAGTGCACACCCACCCCTCCCACTGAGTCACACCGATTCTCACCGGTTCACACTCGCCACCTCTATCCCCCGACCAATCGCGTTGCGACAGATGGCGCTGCCCACAAAGCCGTTTCCACCCATCACCACGATCTGACAGGCCAACCAAGGAATTACATGGGGGAGGGGGTAAGGACCGGGGGTGGGGGAGTTTGAGTAGGTGTGGAGTTGAGGTAGAGAGAGGAAGGTGGCAAATGGGGGAGGTTGTGATCACGAGATTGTGGTGAAGGTGGTTGTGACGGTGGTAAAGATTGCAACGAGGGCTGCCTTTTGAGTCGACTCAAAAGTCACGAGATTGTGGTGAAGGTGGTAAAGATTGCAACGAGCGCTGCCCACAAACCAGTTTCCACCCATCACCACAATCTGACGGGCGAACCAGGGAGAATTACATGGGAGAGGGGGTGGAGTGGGTGAGGGGGAGGGGGAGGAGCGGTTAAGGGGTCGCGGTGGGGGAGGGGGAGGAGCGGTTAAGGGGTCGCGGTGGGGGAGGGAAACCTGTCCAGTGGAGAGAGTGCGGTAGGGAAGGTGGCTAGCGGGGAGGGCTGCGAGTGGTGATGGGGTGGGGGGATGATAGAAGAGCTCGGCCTAGAGAACGTCTCCTCGCGACGCCATTATCAAACACTATGGCACTGGCTATCCCACTGAAGACAGTGATCGTTAAGAGCACTGCCTACCCGAGAACGTTGCTTCTCGGAGATTCTATCCGCTTCTGACCAGCCCATATGTGCCGCGCGCGCGCTGCTTTCCCCGCCGCCCCCCGCGGAACTTCCTTGCTCCGACGGCGCCGCTCCGTGAAACTCGCGAATTCTCGACGCGGATATGCTGGGCGATGCGCCGCGGTCGGCGCCGTGAAACGCGCCGTGGTCAGCGCTGCGCGTGCTGATCGCACCACCAGCCGCGCCGATGGCTCGACAGAGCGATTGACTCAACGCTATCGGCTTGCATGAGCGAGCGGAAATTACGGAGAATGCCATGAGATTCCTTCCAAAAGCGAGCTCGTTATGAAAGAATGGGGGAGAAAAGTAATAGTTCGACTACAACGAGTCCACCAGCACTCATCTATTTCAGCAGCAGAATCAATTTGAGAATGAATTCATGCGACAGCATTCGGAGGGGGCAAAATTCACCAGTATTAGCAGCTTCGTTAGGAGGATTGCAGTTGGGTTTCACATATGCGCCCCGCATGCATAACCACTGTGTTTGTAAAACTGACGTGGGCGATGCTGATTGGTGAAATGCTGAATTAGCACGCATTGGTGGCTGGAATGCGAGTTACGTGGCGCAAGACATTTCCGCAACTGTACAACGTGACCCGATTTATGGCAGAATGGCACTTGGAGGTTGCACTCACAACCAATCCCCAAACGGTCAACATTCCGAAGAATCAGCTCTTCCAAAATGAGGACTTCCCTTGGTTATCAATCAGCACCCTTTCTAACTGCAGCATACATCGAAGGGAATACAAATATATGCACTGCTCCTTTTCTTGAAACTTCACATTTCAACGCATGCCGACAGCCCCCCTTTTCGAAAAGCAAAGCTTGTGAGCAGGATTCTTAGTAACTTGACAGCCTAGTTTGACAACCTTTAGATGTTGCTGGGGTAGAGGAACACACGAACCCTGCGGCCCTGTTAACTCAATACAGAAAAAAGGAAGGGGGAAAGTGTGGTGGGGGTTAAGGGAATGTGACAGGAAAAAGTACCAGGAAAGAGAATGAAGAGTATGGGCAGGAACACTTGTGTGATGATTTCACCATCCAATAACCCCCCCCCCCTTCAATCACACCCGCCCAAGATTCACCGTGGCGGTTCAAGGTTCTTCTTGAACTTGGCCATACAGGCTGCCATTCCTCACAAAAAGCTTCACCCCCCCATAACCAGCCCCATCCCAACCGCACTCCACCGCAACTCACCGTGGCGGTGCAGGGCAGGTTCTTCTTGAACTTGGCGCGGACGACCCCGGTGTTGCCGTGCGGGCGCGTGACGCGGCCCCACATGGAGCGGTAGAGGCTGCCGTTCTTGAGCGTCTTGGCCTTGTAGATGTAGACGATGCGCTTGCCCAGGTACCACTGGCTGTCCTCCTTGCTCTGCACGTTCTCGATCTGCAGCAGCGACGTGTGCTCGTGCACGTTCGACTTGCCTCTGCGGAAGTAGTAGGGAGGAAGGGGAGAGAGGAGAAACGGCGGGAGAAAGGGCCGGAGAAACGGCGGGAGTGACAGAAAGTGGGGGGGGAAGACGGGGAGGAAGGAGGGGTGAGGGGGGGATGATGTCAGGAGAGCACAGCGCGGCCCCACATGGAGCGGTAGAGGGAGCCGTTCTTGAGCGTCTTGGCCTTGTAGATGTAGACGATGCGCTTGCCCAGGTACCACTGGCTCTCCTCCTTGCTCTGCACGTTCTCGATCTGCAGCAGCGACGTGTGCTCGTGCACGTTCGACTTGCCTCTGCGGAGAAAAGAGGGGGGAGGGAGGGGTTAGACGATGGGACAAGCAGGGGGGAGAGAGAGAAGCTCGGGTTAAGCCGATCTGCAGCAGCGACGTGTGCTCGTGCACGTTCGACTTGCCTCTGTGGGAGAGAGGAGTGGATGAAGGATCAGCGGACGGAAAGTGGGGGGGCGGGATGTCTTGGGATGGGGTGGGGGGGAAGGGGAGGAGGGGGAGGAACAGGGCAGCAAGGAAAGAGGCACTTTGTGAGTCGATCAGCAGCAGCGACGTGTGCCGCGCATGTTCGACTTGCCTCTTGGGAGGGAATGAAAGAGATTGTTTCTAAGTCGAAATAAACACAAGACATCTGCTTGTGCAGCTTCTACTCGCCCCCTCAAGAGGGGAACGGGGAGGGGAATGAAAGGTGCCGAAAGGGTGGAGAGGGGAGGGGTTAAGGGAACGGGATAAGGACATTGGTTTGACCTAATTTCGTGGTGATTGCAAACCGCGTTGAGAGTAACCATCCCACCTCCTATGGCTCGACAATGGTGCCCGCAATTGCGCCTCACGGACCCTCGAAATACTCACTGAAAAGAGTAGAGATTCCTCAACTCTATACCCGCTATAGGAACTTAAGCTGTATTCATTATAAACAACGAGCAAGTATCTCACCTCTTGTGGCCCAGCACCACAGCCCGCACGTAGAGTCTGCGATCGCACAGCAGAATGCGACATGATGCGACAAGGGGGCCAGGGGGAGGGAGGGGGATGGGGGAAGGGGAGGAATTGAGACAAAATGCGGAACTTGAAACCGCAACTCGGTGCAACCGGCGTTTTCGCAAGGACAACAGCCTAGGATGTCCAGAACGGCGTCGTAACCTGAGCATTTCCTCGACGTGAGATCCTTCAAACGGGAAACTAGGGTTGCTACTTCGAACGGGATGGTCGCATAAAATCCTCTGCAATGAATATCGAGAGAAACTAGGGTTTCCGCAAACGTTGGGTTCTCAACTGCTGCTACTTCAAATGTCTGGTGCCCTAGGAATTAACGCTGAAGCTGAGGCTGGTACGAAGCCTGCTCGCGGACGCGCTCTTGCAGCAACGGCGAATCCCCTGTGCGACTCGTGAGGACTACGCCTGAGATTCGTAACGACGAACGCGCACGGCGGATTCATGACAGGTGAATATCGAGAGTTCCAGCTTCAAAACAGCACGGCGGCGCATCTTCGTTACAAGCGCTTAAGAGGGTTCAGATCAGCTGCTTGGTGGCATGGAATGTCCTATACCAAACACCCCGGACAAAAGGATCCGAAGAATATCGCCGGATATCAAAGCTTCTCCACTTTGTGACCTGTTAATCCCCACTAGGCACCCTAGATCCCTCCAGCTGCTCCCTAGAGTAAATTTAGGTCAACGCAACACTATCTACGTCCATCCCTGCAAATATATACGCTGGAAATCTATACGGCTTGAAAAAGGTAGGAAAAACGACGCTAATAGTCTTCGCGCCAGGGGACTATCCGCCTTACGAATACTCGCTCCCCGCAAAGTATGACCTCCCGTGGCGAAACAACTACTGCGAAAATATATTAGCTTCGAGAGATATGCATACCGTGGGGAGTTCTCCTTCTTCGTCATGGCGCCGTGTGAGGTGTGAGGGAGACGGACTGCGAAGGAACAAAAGGTGCGCTAGGGCACAGCTAGGCAAACCAAGAGTTAGGGAAAAGGAGAGAGGAAATGGAGGTTCTTAGACTAAAACCCTCAGAGAGTTGCGATGGAAGAGAGCGGCGAAGAGGAAGTGGGGGGAAGGGGAGGGGAGGGGAGACAGGAAGAGGGTGTTGCGGGGATGGCGGAACTTGGGGAGAAATAGGAGGGGCATGCGGAAGATGGAGAACCTGTGTCAGGCGGAGGAGGGTGATGGAGTTGGGGGGACTGGGGGGAAGATTGGTAGGGAGGAACACGGGCGGGGAAGAGGTTGGCGGAAGCATGAAAAAAAAAAAAAAAAGGATTTGGGGTGGGCTTGAAGGTTTCGGGTTGGCTGAGCAGCGGTGTAGAAGGCTTGGCGATTGAGTAGCGAAGACCCTAGTATCGGATGTTGACATCTAAATTACTAAAAGAGTATATTGTGATATCGCATGTCCTATAGCGAACAAGGTAATAATAAGGGCATTTATCTTAGCGGTAACACTCATGGAGCTCGAACGCACACGAGGTAAGCCACGTTTCCAAATCGTAACAGAGATGTCTTCTCATCGCCACCATGGTAACCAGCACTGCCGAGATGGTCAACATTATTGCCTGAATGGTAATGAACAGTGCATCCGGAAATCCTGGCTGGTAACTTCGCGTTCCAACCAAACTGTACACCGTACAAGTCAGGTTTGACTCAGCAAAACGAGACTGACTGTCCACGTATACACCCACAGAATGCGCAATTCTGTTTATAATACCAGCGCTTACAAACGCAAAACGTTACATGCACGTATTCGATATAATTTCCTATCACTATTACAGCAAGCATCTTACAAACACTCTGGAGAAACAAATGTAGCCTGACTATTAAAAAACTGGGATTAAATTATCTGTTAATACAGTCCATATCATGGTGGCGAGGAGAAGACATCTCTGTTACGATTCGTCATGGCAATGCTGGTTACCATGGTGGCGAGGAGAAGACATCTCTGTTACGATTTGGAAACGTGGCTTACCTCGCGTGCGTTCGAGTTCCAAGAGTGTTACCGCTAAGATAAATGCCCTAATAATAAGCAACTCTGATCTCATCGCTGGAATCCATGTCATTGCCATGTGTCCAAACATCTGCTTCGGATGACGTGATTGACGTGTCAGTGACATATCTGCCCTTCCAGGACGCTTCAAACCTCTCACATCGCGTTCCGCAACCGTCCGATCGACCGACGTGGAAACCGTAATGTAACCTCCAGAAGCACATCGCGAGAGCGGCGACTACTCGCGACATAACAGCCCTTAAATAAGTCACCTGGCGAAGCACACTATGTCGCGAAACTCGTTACTGCATTTCGCCCATAGATTGACATTCCTGACCAGAGATCCATTTGCTAGGGGAAACAGACCTGGGAATCTCTGATCCCTGGTCTATTTACTTATCCTCTGGTCTTTATTTATTTCTCCTTGATCCAGCTTCCTAGCCTGCTTTTCTGCTGCTTCTGCCTTTCTGCTGTTTTCCTCCAGCAGGATTATCAGCCTAATCTTGGCTCGGAGCACTTCGTTCTTCTCTTTTCAAATCGCAGCTGATTTTTAAAGAGCTATATTACAGCAGCCATGGGTGTCCTCGCAGCTGTCGCTTCTTCCACAAACGTCGCTGCTGCTGCAATGGCGACCAAGATCTCCGCCAGCCGCGCCGCCTCCGTCGCTGCCGGCGCTGCGAAGATCCTCCCAACTGCTCAGTTCGCGAAGCTCGCCAAGTCATCGTTCGCCGGCCAGTCCCTGGGCTGCGCGGTCGCTAACGCTGACGTGGCGCTGCGCGCCGAGCCCAGGGCCAGGAGCGTTGTGACGGCTGCAGCTGACGGCGACGCTGCCGGCGCCTCCTCCGGAGGTGGTCTGCGCGTCGATCTCCGCGGTGCGTGTGCAGTTGGCCGACAGGCAAACGAGTGTAGACCGTCAAATTACAAATCCAAACTACAAATCACGTAGGTACAAGTTTAAAAAACAGGTATCGACCGCTCACCTTGCACGTGGCCTATTAACCGATTCTCATGGCTTAGAACTCGTGGCTTTCAAGCGCGCATTCATCGCGGGCGTGGTGGACGATCAGGGCTTCGGGTGGGCCATTGCATCTCCTCAACCCAACCTCCTCTCTCCTCTCCCCACCTCCTCTTCCCTCCACTCCCCCCTTTCCCCCTCCTCTCCCCAGGCAAGCGCGCGTTCATCGCGGGCGTGGCGGACGACCAGGGTTTCGGGTGGGCCATCGCGAAGCACCTCGCGGAGGCGGGCGCGGAGGTGCTCGTCGGCACGTGGGTGCCGGTGAGTCGCTGGCGCTCTCTAGATCGCATTGCACCGCATTGGACCGTATATTGTTTGTCGTTTGTGCACTCCAGAAGAACCTGGCGGAGGCGGCCGCCAAGGTGCTCGTCGGCACGCGGGTGCCGGTGAGTCGCTTGCGTTGATCTCGCTGGACCAAACTTGCGTAAATCATCTCGTATATATATACACACATTAAGTATATATCTGTAAATATATTATAACACTCCGAAAAAATCTGGTGGAGGCGGGCGCCGAGGTTCTCGTGGGCATGTGGGCGGCCACTACCATTTGCATGTCGCGGGGGGGCGAATCATAGATTACGCAACCGCGGGTTCAGGCGCTTTTATTTATGCGACCATCCGCGCGTTGACGCTGGCCATTTCAGACGTGTTTTGGTGGTGACACCTTCTCTCCCGAAAGCCTACTTCAAGTTAAAAGAAAAACGGTTTACGGCAGACTCCTTTACAGCTTGCTTCGCTACAGGTTGCCTTATCCTTTGCTCTCCGTTTCTCCCATCCCATCTGATTGCGACCATCTGATGGCAGGCTCTCTCCATCTTCGAGACCAGCCTACGGAGGGGCAAGTTCGACGAGTCGCGCAAGTAAGTCGCCGCCATTAAAGCCCAAGAACACCCGAATTCCACCCGTTGTGTTTGCGTTCAGTTCAGTTCAGTTCAGTTCAGTTCAGTTCAGTTCATTTCCAGTCCCCCCTCTCCCTGTGGGTTTGCTTCAGCGCTACGGAGGGGCGTTGTGTGTGTTCACTTTTTGTGAGACGCCCTCCCGTCGCTTCGCTATCCGTTCTCTTCTCCCTCGCCCACCAATCAGGCTGTCCGACGGGTCGCTGTTCAACATCGCCAAGGTCTATCCCATCCCATGGACGCCGTCTTTGACACGCTGGACGATGTTCCCGAGGCTCATCCCTGCTACACCCCCCCTTCCCCCCTCGCTCTTTATGTCCTCTCCCATGACCCAGGCTGTCCGACGGATCGCTGTTCAACATCGCCAAGGTCTACCCCATGGACGCCGTGTTTGACACGCTGGACGACGTGCCCGAGGAGATCGCCACCAACAAGCGCTACGCCGGGTCGTCTGGGTGGACCGTTGAGGTGAGAGGGAGGGACAAGAGTGGGTGCGGATGGGTGCAGATGGGTGCGGATGGGTGCAGATGGGTGCGGATGGGTGCAGATGGGTGCGGATGGGTGCAGATGGGTGCGTATGGGTGTGGGGTGCCTGGGGGGGACATCCCTACCAGCATTGACACGCTCGACGACGTGCCCGAGGAGATCCGCACCAACAAGCGCTACGCTGGATCGTCTGGGTGGACCGTTGAGGTGAGTGGGACTTTGCAAAAGAGTGGGTGGAGATGGGTTGAGATCGGTTCAGATGGGTGGATATGGGTGTACATGATGGGTGAAAGGGTGCAGAGCAGATCCGCACCAACAAGCGCTCTGCTGGGTCCACTGGGTGGACTGTGGAGGTGAGAGGGCGGACTACGGAGGTGTTTACCGTGTAATATGAACGAAAACTTGTCTAGAGGCGCCAAAAAGGTGCACTATGGAGCAAAGACTTGTGAACGAACTGATGAGACACCCACCCCCTGTTCCTCACCTTTCCCCCCCTCTCCCCCACAATGTCTCCTCCCTCCCTTTTCCAGGAAGTAGCAGCTAAGGTGAAGGCAGACTATGGTTCGATCGACATTCTCGTGCACTCGCTGGCCAACGGGCCAGAGGTCACCAAGGATCTGCTCGACACCTCCCGCAAGGGGTACCTCGCCGCGCTCTCTGCTTCGTCCTTCTCCTTCATCTCCCTCGTGCAGCGCTTCGCCCCGATTACCAACGCAGGTATGCAAATCTATCAACAATCCAGGTGTACATGCACCTTAAGAAAGGGGAATGTGTGGGAAGGGGAAGCACGGGGCATTGGGCAAGGGGTACCTACCTGGCGGCGCTCTCCGCCTCGTCCTTCTCCTTCATCTCGCTCGTACAGCGCTTCGGCCCCATCACCAACGCAGGTACGGATCATTTTTTCGGAATTCCACCATCACCTCCCGACTTCCCTCCCGATCTCTCCCGTCCACTCCCTCCCTGCCCACTTCATTGATTCACTATGATTCCGTTCCCCGCCCCCCTTCCCCCCTCCCCTTTCCCCCCACCAGGTGGGTCTGTCTTCTCCCTGACCTGCATCGCATGGGAGAATATCATCCCCGGGTATGAGTCTTAACCGCGCATGAGTCTTAACCGCGCCCTCCGCTCTCTCCCCATTTCCTTCCCGCGTTCCCTTCCATCGTGCATCACTCCAGGCGGGTCCGTCATCTCGCTGACCTACATCGCATCGGAGAAGATCATCCCCGGGTATGGCGGCGGCATGAGCTCCGCCAAGGCTGCTCTCGAGAGCGACACACGCGTGCTGGCGTGGGAGGCAGGGCGCAAGTATGGCATCCGCGTCAACACCATCTCTGCAGGTAGGCACTCGTGCTGGTGCATGGCACAGCAGATGGTAGTGGTGTGGCAGACGACCTGATGATGTTAGTGGCACAACAAGGCTGCTCTCAAGAGCGACACGCGTGTGCTGGCGTGGGAGGCGGGATGCAAATACGGCATCCGCGTCAACACCATCTCTACAGGTACGAATACCAGC